TTCTTTAGTTGACATTATGCTGGGGGCAAAATATGACCAAGATGGATTCATTTTATGTGCTTTACACATGAAAAAGTATGCACATTTGCTTAATAAAACATACCATATCTTATTTATAATTTGGAAACAATATTTGTGGCATTAGTGGAAATAATCTTAATTAAAAACAAATATATTTTATTAGGTGGCCAAAGTTTCAGGTTTTAGTTTAAAAAACTCTTAGATTTTTTTCCTTTGATTTTAACTTAAAATGTGGATGGGACATGAATTTTTGAAAAGTACCTGTTTTTAGCAAAACTTATTTCACAGGTAGCTCATTGACAAGCCTTTAAAGGAGCAAAGGTATATTCAACTTTAACAAAGCCTTTCAAACTTTCAGGCTCTTGAAGTTCGTAACTAAGCATTCATATTTGCTAAATTGGGCAAGAAACTTTATAAAAGAAAAAATTTTATGATATAATGTATTACACTTTCAATTTTAGTTCAGCTCAACTGGAAACTAACTTTTCTTTTTTCTTTTTTTTAATATATTTTATTAATTATGCTATTACATTGTCCCATTTTCCCCCCTTCACTACCCTCCACCCTGTACACCCTCTCCCACCCATATCCCCCCCTTTAGTCATGTCCATGTGTCATACTTATAAGTTCTTTAGCTTCTACATTTCCCATACTATTCTTACCCTCCCCCTATCTATTTTCAACCTACATTCTATGCTACTTATTCTCTGTACCTTTCCCCCCTCTCTCCTCCTCCCACTCCCCTGTTGCTAACACTCCATGTGATCTCCATTTCTGTGGTTCTGGTCCTGGTATAGTTGTTTGCTTTTGTTTTTGTTTTAGGTGTGGTTGTTAATAATTGTGAGTTTGCTGTCCTTTTACTATACATGTTTTTTCTTTATCTTCTTTTCTTACATAAGTCCCTTTAACATTTCATAAAATAAGGGCTTGGTGATGATGAATTCCTTTAACTTGACCTTATCTGAAAAGCACTTTATCTGCCCTTCCATTCTAAATGAGAGCTTTGCTGGATAGAGCAATCTGGGATATAGGTCCTTGTCTTTCATGACTTGGAATAGTTCTTTCCAGCCCCTTCTTGCCTGTAAGGTCTCTTTGGAGAAATCAGCTGACAGTCTGATGGGAACTCCTTTGTAGGTGACTGTCCCCTTATCTCTTGCTGCTTCTAGGATTCTCTCCTTCATTTTTACCTTGACTAATGTAATTATGATGTGCCTTGGTGTGTTTCTTCTTGGGTCCAACTTCTTTGGGGCTCTCTGAGCTTCCTGGATCTCCTGGAAGTCTATTTCCTTTGCCAGAATGGGGAAGTTCTCCTTTATTATTTGTTCAAATACCTGCTCAATCTGTTGCTTTTCCTCTTCCCTTTCTGGTACCCCTATAATTCGGATGTTGGACTATTTAAAGATGTCCTGGAGGTTCCTAAGCTTCTCATTTTTTTGAATTCTTATTTCTTCATGCTTTCCTGCTTGGTTGTTTCTTGCTTCCTTCTGGTCCACTTGATTGTTTTGAGTCCCAGTTTCCTTCCCTTCCCTATTGGTTCTCCAAGCATCTTCCTTCATCTCTTTTATGGTAACCTGCATTTTTTCATGTAATTTGCGCCCAAAATCAACCAATTCTGTGAGCTTCCTGATCACCAGTGTTTTGAACTGTGCATCTGATAGATTGGCTATCTCTTGGTTGCTCAAAAGGATGAGTCCTGGGGGGCTGATCTGTTCGTCTGTTGGAAACATGTCTCTCTCTCTCTCTCCTTTTTTTTCTTTTTTTCTGGTCTGGTCGCTGTTGTTACAGTGAGGGGCGGAGCCTTACGTGTTCACCGGGGCTGGGCACCCCAGTTGCTAGATTGTGACGTAGTATGTGGGGGTGGGGGCGGGAGGGAACAATGGTGGTAGTTCCGCTCTCCTGGGGCCTCTGTACCCCTCCCTGGGATCCTGGGTTGTGTGCTCTGCCCTGGTCCACAATGCCGCCTCACTGGGTCCGCCAGCTGCTGCTTGAGTACTCAGGGTCCACCGCTGCAATCTTGCGTGTCCCGGAAGGCCTACATGCTCGGTTGCCTTATGCGCCCAGTTCTCCCCGATCTCAGCGCACCGTAACCTGCACTCGCTCCTCCTCTCAGCCCCTCCTACCGGTCTGGATGAACAGGTCTACTTCAACTTCTTGGCTGTCCAACTTCCATTCAGATAAATTCTCTGTCAGTTCTGGGTGTTATTCTGCCTCTAAATTGTTGTTGTTCTAATCTTGGTTGTGCGTGGAGGTACGGTGCATCCACTTATGCCTCCATCTTGCCAGAAGTATCGAAACTAACTTTTCTTAAAGTGTGGAAACATTTTATTTATTTTTGGCTCTACTCAGGAAATGGTATAATTAAAAGCATTTGTATTAAAATTATGAAAAGCAGAAAATTTGCCTAAAATCAAGAGGTTGAGGTCAGTGTTGTTCAATATGGAATAAAAATTTTATATTAATCAAAATTATTCTACTCATTGAAAAAAGTTGGGGACATATTTTTGGAAATAATAAGCAATCCAAACTTTTTTCAATTTCAGATATTTATAATGCATCCTTGTTTGTGTGTATTAATCATTTATATCAGGAGCAAATGCAGATTTGGGAACTTAAAGCTTATAATTTTGAAGGACTGTCTTTTGAAAAAGGTAATATAATATCCAAATAAAAATTGTTAGTATCTTTGAAAGAAAACAGGCAAGTGTTCTAGTCTTCTTGCTTTTTATGAAGATTGTATGTGTGTGTGTTAACTTGAAATAGAAAATGAACATCCAATATTTATGCTAACAAAAATAAAATATTATATATAAAGTTTTATTTTGCTTTAATTTTAGAATTGATATTTTACTGAATTATAGATTTAGGTTCTCAGATTTTGCACTCGTCCCCCAGCATCTGAAACATGTCGTTCTGTTGTCTTCTGGACGCCATAGTTTATGTTGGATACTCTGCTGTAAATTTTGCTTTTCTTTTGATGGTAATGTGTTCTTTTTCTCCCCTTGCTGTATATAAGATTTTCGTATTATATTTGATTTTCAGCCATTTGACTGTTGGATGTGATATTTCTTTCATGTTTTTCAGTGTTGGGTTGACTATATTTCCTTAGTGAGTTAATGTATTGTATCAGTTTTGTTATATTCTTAGCTGTTTGTTTTTTTCACTTGTAGCTATTACTTTATCCTCATTCTCTCCTCAACTGCAATTACATTGGGCTTTTTGATTCCCGCATGTCTCTTATGTTTTGTTCTTTTCATTTGTTTTTCTCTCTCTTTGCTGTAGTTGGGTATCTGCTTGTCTATTCAAGTTCATTAACCTCTGCTTTGCTGTGTTGAGTCAGCTATAAAACCCACCCACTGATTCCTCAGTTTTACATATTGTATTTTTCAGTTCTAAAACAACTAATTCTTTTTTGTTGTTCAAGTATAGTCGTCTCCTTTTTTACCCCACCATGCCCCCACTCTCAAACCTACCCCCTTTGGCTTTGTCCACGTGTCCTTTATACATGTTCTTTGATGGCCCTTCCCCTATTTTTCCTCATTATTCCTCTCCCCACTCCCCTCTGGTTACTGCCAATTTGTTCTTTATTTCACTGTCTCTGGTTATATTTTGCTTGATTCTTTGTCTTGTTCATTAGGTTCCACATATAGGTGAGATCATATTCTTTTCAATAGATTTAAATTATCTATTGAAATTTTGTTTTCTTATACAGCAAACATGTTTCCATTCCATCTTTAACTTCCATTAAAATCTTACCATCTTCTATTGTCTTCTATGTGTTCTAAAGCAGTGTCATATGTGGGTCAGCTAATAGATGTTATTTGTTTTCTTGGTTATTACTCACATTTTGTGTCCCTCCCTGTGCTCCATAATTATTATGGTGTACCAAACACTGTTTATTATAGGATGACAGATTGATGTAAATGTTATTTTTCTCCTATATTAGAAAAAAATGATGAAGTGCTAATCCCCTCTATTCAACCATGAATTGAGCTGGGTGATTTGAATTACAGCTTTAGATATACCTGGTCTATCTCTAGTTAAATGTCTTAAGGGCAAGACCTGTTGGGTTGCAGGTATTTCTCTCCAGTATGACTTTGTATTTAATGGACTATGAAATTGTGGGAGATTTTACTCCACCTTTTGGGTTTTGCCTCCATTTTCTCATCCCCCTCTCAAGGTAGGGTGTTTTTTGGATGAGAGCAAATGTTCTGAGGAAAGAATTGTTGAAATTCTATACTAAAAGTGGTAGGCATCACCTGTTGTGTAGTATGCCTTTGACTTCTATTCATCATAACACTACAGAAAACAGTACTTTTTCCTCTAGCTCAGCCTCTACTTCTTTCCCAGTCTACTTGTGCAGTCTCAGTCCTCAGTAGATCTCTTAGGAGAAAACTGTCTGGTCTGGGGGGGTTCCATTAGATTCTAATCTATTATACCAGCACATAAACCATAAAGAGCTATGCTGGTTTCTCCTTTTCTTGGTAGTGTCACTCTTTCTGATTCTTAGTTTGTGTCTAAATGGCAAATCTCTGAGACATGAAAGCAATCAGGAGACTCAGTTTACCTAAGATTAGATGTCACTTTTCTCCTAGTTTATCCATTTTACTTTCATTGCCTTACAGTAGACTTAAAAATATAATTTGGGGAGATAATTTATCTTTCTTCTAGTTGTTGTAGAAGCAGTGACATGCTGCTGTGTGATGGTAAATTAGTTTTGTAAAAATAAAAACAAAATTTAGGCCCACATGTTACTCTTTTATGTATTATATTTATATAAAGTTTATTTTTAGATTATTGGTTTGTTATTGAATATTAATATTGTTGCTAAATGTACTAGGCCTCCAGATATTGGTCAAGATTGCTGTTTGGAAAAAGTGTATTTTGAGAGCCAATTTTAATTTCAAAATTCCTTTTCATCAGCAGTGATTTAAATGAAACATAAACAAAAATTAATTTTTCTTTTCCCCTTTCTTGTCTAGTGAGTGATAGTTGCTTCAGGAATCTCGCAGAAGATCGCAGTGGGATAAATCTCAAAGATCTTGTACAAGATCCTTCTTTGTGAGTATTTGTCTTTTAATATTAATTATTATTTAAAAGTCTATGGTTGGTGTGACTTTTCTCAAAAGAGTTGTAACTGAGAATTGACTTAAGGTTGAACAATTTTTTCGAATAATTTTTTTTGGCTTTTAATTTCAACCACCTAGATTATTTACAAGTTTACATTATTTCTTCTTTTTATTCTTTTTTTTGTTACATATAGTGAAGCACATAGAACAGTTTAAACAGAGATACAGTTACTTTTTAGAAATGTAAGAGATATGAGAGGAAGGGACAGTGTTAGATCAATAATTGACTTTCAAGGGATATGGCTAATGGCTGCTGATATCTTTCCAATAGGACAGTAGATACTAAGCAGAGAAGATGATTAGTTTCTTTGCTTGGGAAGGTGAGATTGAATTTATTCACATCAATTTTAAGCATTCTTTGGAATAACTTATAATAATGTTTGTAAGACAATTACAAATATAAAGTAATAGTTTTAATAATAATATATTTGAATATATCAAATATATTTCTAATGTTTTACATTAGAAAGCTGTATGCAGCACAAGGTTTTTGAAGAATTTTACGTGTTTCAATTTTTAATTTTCCTGCTTACTGTCAACCCCATTCTTTATCAACATGTACTTTAATGTCATTTTCTATTTTGTAAATTATTTATTTTTTTGCAGTTGTATATTTACTGGAAATTATGTTCAATATCTTCTACATGATAATAGCTTCCCAGGAAGAACACCTTTTTTTTTTTTTTTTTTTGGAAAAAAAAAAATCAGGACTAGTTAAGCCTTGGGCAGCAAAGAAAACAAAATTGAGTGCTGTCAGGTGCTTTGTTTAATGATGCATAATGCATTCAATAAAATATATTTTAACAGGAAATTAGTCTTCCACATCACATGTAATCTACAGTCCCACAACTCTTGTAATTTATTGAGAATGTTGTGAGGAAAAAAACCAAAAATGTGTTGAACCTGAAGGTTATTGATTCCATAATGATTTTTCACTCATTTAAAAAAGTTTAGTCACAAGATAGACTGTTGAAAATAATTGAATATTCAATTTTTTAGTGTAATCAGTTCAGATATGACTTTCCAAAACCAACTCTCTCAACGTTTTTTTTTAACCTCTCTCTTTTCTTCATCAAAGAATTGCCAGTATTCTTTTTCCATGATTTTTATTCCAATGAAGATTGAAAGTTGTCCTTTCAGTCCTATAAATATTTAATTAAGATATGTGAATATAAGCATTCCTCCTAAATGAATATTGAATAATACTTATTTGCATGAGTAGTTCTACTTTTCTTATGGATATGGAAGGAAACTTTATAATTTTTTGGAAAGATTTTACCCATTTTTAAGGAATAAATTAAATAATTTCATTATTGTATTATTTGTAAGGTGTAATTCTGGCACAGTAGAATTATATTTCTGTTTAGTGCAATCACTGTGAAAACTAGTGTGCTTATGTGGACTTCAATGATATAAAAATTTCAATAGCAGATTATAATGAGTTGTAGTGTTTTGAGAGAATTTGGTACTTCTTTCCAGAATGTAGAATATTTATCATGTAACTTATAACTGAATTCTAAATTCAATCTTAGTATTCTAAGAAAAATTTATCTCAGATTACTATTACATTGGATGAGGAAAATAATTCTGAATTTTCTGTTTTGAAGTAGCCAGATAGTATTTTAATTTAGGATAATTCTCATAAGTAGGGATTAGTCTACACTGTAAGAATCTAGTAAAAAAGTTTTCCTAACCCTTGCAGTGCATTTAGAAAGAGCTTTTTTTTTTAATTTAAGAATTATGAAAATTTACCATTAGTGACTCTAATTTATGTTTTAGAGATATATTTCTTACTTTGTAAAAGTCTTTAAGTATACAAAAATGCCTTTGATTTCTGGATATTGACTTTGTATCCTACAGTTTTGCCAAATTTGTTTATTAGATCAAGCAGTTTTTTAGCAGAGTCTATAGGATTTTCTAGGTACACTATCATGTCATCTGCAAACAATGACAGTTTTGTTTCCTCCTTTCCAATTTGGATGCTTTTTATTTCCTTTTCTTGTCTGATCGCTGTGGCTAAAACTTCCAATACTATATTGAATAAAAGTGGTAAAAGTGGACAACCTTGTCTTGTTCCTGATCTTAGTGGAAAATATTTTGGTTTTTGCCCATTGAGTATGATGTTGGCTGTAGGTCTCTCATATATGGCCTTTATTATGTTGAGGAATGTTCCCTCTATTCCCACTTTGCTGAGTGTTTTTATCAAAAATGAGTGCTGTACCTTGTCAAATGCTTTTTCTGCATCTATTTTATAATTATGTGATTTTTGTCTTTGCTTTTGATTATGTGATGTATTACATTTACTGATTTGTGAATATCGAACCATCCTTGCATCACTGGGATAAATCCCACTTGGTCATGGTATATGATCTTTCTAATGTATTGTTGGATGCAGTTTGCCAATATTTTGTTGAGGATTTTAGGGTCTATGTTCATCAGCGATGTTGGCCTCAAGTTTTCTTTCTTTGTTGTGTCTTTATCTGGTTTTGGGATTAGGATGATGCTGGCTTCATAAAAAGAGTTTGGGAGACTCCCATCATTCTGGATTTTTTGGAATAGTCTGTGAAGGATAGGGATTAGCTCTTCCTTAAATGCTTTGTAGAATTCTCCTGTGAAACCATCCGGACCCAGAATTTTGTATGTCGGGAGTTTTTTTATTACTGCTCCAATTTCCTCTGCTGTTATTGGTCTGTTCAGGCTTTCTGCTTCTTTTTCATTGAGTTTTGGAAGACTATATTTTTCTAGAGATTTGTCCATTTCACCTAGGTTTTCGAATTTCTTGGCATACAGTTCTTCATAGTAATTTCTTACAATCTTTTGTTTTTCTGTGGTGTCAGTTGTAATCTTTTCCTCTTTCATTTCTAATTGTGTTTATTTGGATCCTTCCTCTTTTTTTCTTGATGAGCCTGCTTAAAGGCTTGTTGATTTTGTTTATCTTTTCAAAGAACCAGGTCCTGGATTCATTGATCCTTAGAATTGTGCTTTTAGTCTCTATGTCATTTAATTCTGCTCTGATCTTGGTTATTTCCTTCCTTCTGCTTGCTCTGAGCTGTCTTTGTTGTTTTTCCTCGAATTCTTATAGACATGGGTTTAGGTTGTTTGTTTGAAATGTTTCTATCTTTTTTTAGGTAGGCCTGTATCACTGTGAACTTCCCTCTTAGGACTGCCTTCACTGTGTCCCATAAATTTTGGATTGTTGTGAGTTCATTTTCATTTGTTTCCAGAAACTTTCCAACAATGAAACAGCAGAAACAGAAATCAAGAAAAAATCCCATTTGATATACCAAAAAGGAAAGTAAAATGCCTAGGAATAAATCTAACCAAGGAAGTAAAAGACCTGTACTCAGAAAACTATACAACACTGAAGAAAGAAATTAAGGAAGACACAAACAAATGGAAACATATACCATCTTCATGGATTAGAAGAATTAACATCATCACAATGCCCATATTACTCAAAGCAGTTTACACATTCAATGCAATACCTATTAAAGTACCAATGGTATATTTCACAGACACAAAACAAACACTTCAAAAATTTATATGGAACCATAAACAACCCTGAATTGCTGCTGCAATTTTGAGAAAGAAAAGCAAAGTAGGAGGGATCACAATACCTGATACCAAACTGTATTACAAGGCCACTATAATTAAAACAGCCTGGTACTGGCATAAAAACAGGCACATGGACCAATGGAACAGAACAGAGAGCCCAGAAATAAGCTCAAGTCTCTATGGTCAATTAATATTTGACAAAGGGGGCAGCAACATAAAATGGAGTAAAAACACTCTCTTCAACAAATGGTGTTGGGAAAACTGGACAGCTACATGCAAAAAAATGAAACTTGAGCACCAACTTACACCAAACACAAAAATAAATTCAAGGTGGATAAAAGACTTAAATATAAGCCATGTCACCATTAAAGTCCTAGAGGAAAACATAGGCAGGAAAATCTCAGATATTTCACGCAGCCACATTTTTACTGATACATCCCCCAGAGCAAGGGACATAAAGGAAAGAATAAACAAATGGGATCTCATCAAAATAAAAAGCTTCTGCACAGCTAAAGAAAACAGTATTAAAATAAAAAGAGAACCAACTGTATGGGAAAACATATTTGCCAATGATATCTCAGACAACAGTTTAATCTCCAAAATATATAAAGAACTTACACGACTCCATTCTAAGAAGACAAGCAACCCAATTAAAAAATGGGCAAAGGACTTGAACAGACACTTCTCCAAGGAGGACATACAGAGGACACAGAAACACATGAAAAGATGCTCAATATCGCTAGCTATCAGTGAGATGCAAATTAAAACCACAATGAGATACCACTTTACACCAGTCAGAATGGCCATCATAAACAAAGCAACCAACAAGTGTTGGAGAGGTTGTGGAGAAAAGGGGACCCTAGTGCACTGTTGGTGGGATTGCAGACTGGTACAACCACTATGGAAAACAGTATGGAATTTTCTCAGAAAACTAAAAATGGATCTGCCTTTTGACCCAGCAATTCCACTGCTAGGATTATATCCTAAGAACCCTGAAACACCAATCCAAAAGAATCTATGCACCCCCAATGTTCATAGCAGCACAATTTACAATAGCCAAGTGTTGGAAGCAACCTAGATGCCCATCAGTAAATGAATGGATCAAAAAACTATGGTACATTTACACAATAGAATTCTATGCAGCAGAAAGAAAGAAGGAGCTCCTACCCTTTGCAACAGCATGGATGCAACTGGAAAGCATTATGCTAAGTGAAATAAGCCAGGCAGTGAAAGACAATACCATATGATCTCACCTTTAACAGGAACCTAAACAACAAAACAAAGAAATAAGCAAAATATAACCAAAGACACTGAAATAAAGAACAGACTGACAGAGGGAAGAGGAGAGGGAGTTTCAGGGGAATTTCAGGGGAAAAG